AAAAAAATAAAAATAAAAAATAAAAAAATATATATACAAAATTAATTAATTAAATATTGTAAGATCGACTTGCAACCGATGCTTTACCGCTGTCTGCAGCGCACACACTCGTGTTTTACGTACGCACAACATTTTCACGCAGTTAATGCTCAAACTGCATGCAGTGCCCCTTCCCACACTCAGGATAATACAGTAGAATTGAGCCAGAGCGAGGGCGCCATCTGTCGTGGAGTTTGGTTAATGCTATGGAGCCAGTGGGTTGTTTAGAACCAGTGAGTTCGTTGTCATGCCAACACAAACAAAATAACGTGCAGCACGAGCGCAGTAAATTGAATGCACGGTACAGCTGTTGTTATAACGTTGAAGACGTGCACAATTTACGTTTTTAATGCCGCTAAATTGGTGTAACTATAGGCAACGGGATTCCCGTGGTGGTTTTACTTCCCAGGATTAAACCCTACTCACACTCGGTATATCTACATCAGATGATCAGACTACATCATGTATTCTGTCTGGGATAGACTGTGTGGTTGTGATTTCTGGATTTGAACGTGATTTGTGCTTGTGCCAGCAAAATTTATTGTGCAGGATGGTAGCCTATGTGCATGTCAACGGTATAGCTCTATAGTTGTCGTTTTCGTCATCAATTTAATGCTACCAAATATCAACTATCATGGCACTCTCAAAGCTGAGTGATAATGTAAAGTTGGAAAATTTCCCAGAAATTGGAGATGAACCTCACCACCCATCGCCTGATTTCACGTATCCGTTTCGGGAATTCGGATCAAAAAAGAAAAGAGCGTTCCAGCTCTCTTGGATTAAAAAGTGGCCATGGCTGCACTACAGCGAACAAAATGACCGTGCATATTGTTTCAACTGTGTTAAGGCCTTCAAAGAGAAGAAAATTTCGCCAAGAAATGCCGAGCAATCGTTCGTAACGACAGGCTTCCAAAATTGGAAAGACGGATCTGTGAAAATAAGACAACACGCCGAAACTAAATGCCATAAGGAGTCGGTTGTTGTTACTGTAGAACTGGTAAAAATCAAAGACATCGGGGAACAATTCAGTTGTGTGCATGAAGAAGAAAAACGCGTCAATCGCGAAATGTTACTGAAGATATTGTCCAATATCAGATTCTTAGCCAAACAAGCACTCCCGCTTCGGGGTCATGGAGATGAGACGCATTCAAACTTTATCGAGCTACTGAAGCTTCGAGGAGAGGATAGGCCAGGAGTCCTTGATTGGATGAAGAAAAAAACCAACAAGTACACGTCCGCCGACATACAGAATGAAGTGCTACAAATAATGGCCCTGAAGGTAAGTTTACTACGTGTAGTAATGATATAACATCAAATCAGCTAAACCTATTTTTCACGAAAATGTTTGACATTGGTGGACTTATTGTTATTATGTGTATTTTATGAACATTTAATGTACCGGTATGTTTTTTAAATGTTATAAACTCATGATAAAAGCTTACATGCGTTCTTATGAGTTTCATTATCATGCAATTATGATACACACATCCTGGTGATAACAACACATTGCTTTTAGGTTTTACGTCAAATTGCCAACAACATCCATTCGGCGGAATACTTCACCATAATGATGGATGAAACCACAGACGTATCAAACAAGGAGCAGGTTGTACTGTGTTTCCGGTGGGTTTCCGACGATTTATCAGTTCGTGAAGACTTCATTGGGCTGTATGTTACCGACAACACAGAAGCAGATACGCTAGTATCTATTGTCAAAAATGTACTGCTGCGGATGAATCTTTCTATGACAAAAGTTAGAGGGCAATGCTATGATGGTGCCAGTGCCATGAGTGGGGCCAGATCCGGAGTGTCTACGCAACTTCGTGCTGTTGAAAACAGAGCATTGTATACACATTGCTAT